TGAAGCTTCTCACAACTAAGCAATTGGTAATTGTCGAATCGTCATTCTTGCATCTTCATTCTTCCCGCTGTTCTCAACAACGATTGGTACGTTTTACGCTCAGAATTTTCTACAACCATCATCATTGCTGTGCCCCTTCGCAAAAGGGAAGGACGAGACTCAGACTGAAGCATTTAATAAAATAAATTTTTTTGCATGAAATGCATGTTAATAAAAATATCAAGTATATAATGGTATCACCATAATTGAATATGCTGATCAACCATTTGATGTCATAGTGGCCAGCAATTTCTCTCGCTTATGAAGAAGCAGAGAGCGACATAATGAAACGAAAGCCGCGCGACCCGATTCGCGACAAGCTGGTCAACGAAAGGTGCGTTCTTTCGACCATTCGTCGTTGTTGTTCAAAGCGAAATGAATATTTTGAATCAATTTTCAGACTGATCTCGCTCGCCTACGGAATGATTGGAATCATACAAGCAGCGGCCGGTTTTTTCACTTACTTGGTGATCATGACCGAAAATGGATTTTGGCCGTCAAAGCTGATGGGGCTGCGTGAAGAGTGGGACTCGAGGGCAGTAAACGACCTCGAGGATAGCTATGGGCAGCAGTGGGTATGCTGATAGTGTTGCTTTCAGCAGCATGGCTTCGGGATCGATTTCAAGTTGATTGATAAATAATTAAGATTGACTTACTTGGTTAAGAGAGAAATAATTACACACCTGGAAGAATATCCATGTGAAGCGTTCTGAACTAATACTATGCATTTTCTTCAGCACAAATGTAGGATCTTTCTGTTTGTCTTGATCTTCTCTTTAGAGTCTTATCCTGGGTAATTTTGCTACTACTATCTAGCCATTTACTTTTTCTCCATTTCATATGCCTTTTATTTTTTTTTCGTTTATTTTATTTCCTTATGGTGTATTTCTTCGTTATCCGTGACAACGAAATCCTTTCTGTATAACCTTAATTTGTGTTGATGAGGAAACACGGTTGTTGTTCTGAATGCTTCGCTTAATATTTTTCAAGCTATTTATTCTTTTTTAATCAGTCATAGTCAGTAGTTTCTTTACATATTTTCGAATTTCGCTAATTTTGGTTTTTTTAGCAGATGTATCTGCAATTTGTTTACTTCTTTCTCTTCGTTTTCGTTGATACTTATGTTGCACATTTATAAGTTGTAACCTTTTTAGACATACTCTAACCGTAAGGTACTTGAATACACATGCCATACCGCGTTCTTTGCCTCCATAGTCGTCGTTCAGTGGGCTGATCTGTTGATTTCAAAGACGCGTCACAATTCATTGGTTCATCAAGGCATGGGGTAAGTATTAATCGCATTGGTCATGTAGGTCTAACCATCGTGCGCTTTGCAGCAATTGGACATTGAATTTTGGCCTCCTTTTTGAAACTTTTCTTGCCGGATTCTTGGCCTATTGCCCGGGGCTCGACAAAGGGCTGAGGATGTACGGCCTTAGGTAGAGTTCGCTTTGCACTGCTTATATTTTTCTGCTATAGCTTTGTTTTTTACTCTGCAGGTTCTCTTGGTGGTTTCCTGCCCTTCCTTTCGCCATCCTGATCTTCGTCTACGACGAAAGTCGTAAAACAATTATCAGAAGAAGGCCGAACGGGTGGTTCGCGAAGGAAACCTACTACTGATGCGCTATTCTTTATGCGGCTACCTATACGATTTACTCTTAACCATAGATGTTGCTTTAGAAGCCGATTTTTACTTTTCTACTATCAGGAATTTTACGTTTCATTGCCTTTTGCCACTGCTTTTGTTTTACTTCGAATTTACCTCCGTGACACCCGTCTGATCTAATGCCCATTTTTCTATTTTTTTACGTAGATTTTCTGTTCATTAGTTCTTTAATGTTTACTGTTGTGACGTTTTTATCCCTGTTGACTTTTCCTCGTACCAACGATATTGACGATGCCATAGAACTTCGCAAAATCTGGTCATTTGCTATTCACGACGTGTTGATATTTTGCAGTGTTTTTCTTACGTTTAGTACAGAATCGTTTCTTGTGTTCGTGCGACTGTCCTTCTTTGGAGTAAACGGCTAATTTTATATTGCTTCTAAATGTCTCTATTTTAAATTTTAAACCGGTAAACAACTTTTAAGTTTCAGGCAATTTATCCGTCTTATACGATTTCGCGCCATATGCGGTGAGCACCGGCCTAACCTCGATAAAATGACTCGTCTGTTACTTTCAGACTGCAAAATTTTGTTTTTTGTTAATACAGATAAGCTGACAATGGTACTTACCTGATATATTCATTGAGTAGTACAGTATCTGACATTCTCGAGTTATTTAAAGTTTGTCGTATTGTCGAACAGTCAGTAGCCACTTACTGTGCGCCAGCGAGACCTTTCTCGGCATTATACAGCGCATTACCTTCTTTCTTGAAAAGATATGGCGTCGAGTAGCAGTCAGATATACACGGAAACCTATGGCTGTTCTGCACTGGACGCCCGCTTATTGCTGGTACTACTGTTACATACTGTATGTATGGATGTTAATCCGCTACGCGCCAGCGGAAAATTTAGACCACAACTGCACTTAGACAAATTCATTACTTCTTCGCATCTAATTTTTTGAAAAGTTGCCACTCAAAAAACCTATGCTCTGGCATACACTCATTAATAAATCATGAAGCGCAAGTAAGTCTTGAACAGAATCTCTACAAATCGTTATATGGCGCAAAATCTGGAAATGAGTTCTGGCATATGGATTCAGTTCCTGAAATGCTATGATGATTGGCAGAAGAGCTGGTAACAAAGTCAGGGCAAGTTTCTGAAAATCCAAACCATACCGCGGAAGGGGCGGTGACACAAGAACCGTGCAACGGCGGCAAAGCCTGCAAGTTGCCAGCGGAAGCTTCGGGGAACATGGAAGCGATCTGGAACTTCTGTCCTCTGTCGGTCTGTTGGATGATGCGTGGAGGGACGATCCCACCGCTGCCGTGAACAGTGGACTGCTCGTTGCCAATGGTCGTCGTGTCAAAGGCATTCGGCGGTGGTGGCCTCGAGATCTGAAAACATTCGTTCGACGGAAAAAAGTTTGTCGCCGACGAGGAACCCAGCCAAGAAACCGGCTCGGAACCTGAGATGGTCTTCGATGCATGAACTTCAGGATAATATCCATTTGGCAACGTGCTGCTGCCCATTTGCGACGTGCAGTCAAATATCGACCGGGACAAGTTTACTTCCGGCGTGGCGTATCCAATATCCCTCGGGTTGGCCATGTTTTTGTTGGTAAGAGAGTTAACGGGGGTCTTGTGCATTTTAGACGCCATCGTGGACTCGTTGAACCTCAGCCATTCATTAGTGGTCGTCGACTGAGTTTGGTCGGCGGAAATTCCGAAATTT